GAGAGGTTGCAGACTATGTGGCTAGATCTTTTACCTGTCAGCAGGTGAAGGCAGTGCATCAGAGACTGGCAGAGACACTTCAGCCTTTACCCATTCCAGAGTGGAAGTGGGCAGACATTTCCATGGATTTTATTGTAGGGTTGCCGAAGTCGAAGAAGGGGAATGATTCTGTTTGGGTGATAGTGGACCGGTTGACGAAGTCAGCACATTTCATCCCAGTGAGGACTACTTATACAGCTGAGGCTTATGCGAGGATCTTCATTCGGGAGATAGTTCGACTTCACGGAGTTCCAGACACGATCGTATCGGATCAGGGATCGGTTTTCACATCACATTTTTGAAGAAGTTTTCAGGACTCATTTGGCAGCAGGCTATCCTATAGCAGTGTATTCCACCCCCAGACGGATGGTCAGACAGAGAGGGTGAATCAGGTGTTGGAGGACATGTTGCGGGCATGTGTCATTGACTTCCAAGGCAATTGAGAGGATCACATTCCATTGATAGAGTTCGCTTATAACAACAGTTATCAAGCGACGATCGGTATGGCTCCGTATGAGGCATTATACGGGAAACCCTGTAGATCACCGATATGTTGGGCAGAGCCGGAAGATAGCTTGATGCTTGGACCGGAGCTGGAGAGGCAGACTACCGAGAAGGTGACATTGATCAGGGAGCGGATTCTAGCAGCTCAGAGTCGGCAGAAGAGCTATGTCGATAAGAGACGAAGACCCTTGGAGTTTCAGGTGGGAGACTCAGTCATGCTGAAGGTATCGCCTATGAAAGGCGTACAGCGATTTGGACGACGGTGGAAGCTTGCGCCGAGATATATTGGACCATTTCAGATTTTAGAGCGCATTGGAGCTGTGTCATACAGACTAGATCTTCCAGGATCGATGTCTAGTATACACAATGTGTTTCATATTTCTATGCTGAAGAAACACTTGCATGATGAGGAGCAGCAGCGAGTATTGGATGCACCAGAGATTAAGCTTCAGGAGGATTTGACTACTATTGAGATCCCGGTTGGTATACTTGCCAAAGAGGACAAGAAACTCAGGAATAAGGTGATTCCCTTAGTGAAAGTTTAGTGCAACCGATGAGGCATTGAGGAGATTTCTTGGGAGCGCGAAGAGGACATGCGTCGTGACTACCCACACTTGGTTGAGCAGGTAAATTAATTCTTATTATGTTATATATATGTTACTTTATGTTATATTCTTGGTTATGTTTATATTTAACACTAGAATGAAGACATTTTTGCTTAATTTTAATCTTTTTGGACACATGGTATATATATGGGGGGTTCCTTGTTTGGATTTTTCACCTGATTTACTAGTTCCACTAGATTAGAATTTGAGCGAGAATGTTATCATTTTAGATCGTTAAGTATAAATATTCTATATGTTCATCTAGAAATTCATATTTCGAAATGCGTATGATTTCCGAATTTTGAGGACGAAATTCTTTTAAGGGGGGAAGAATGTAAAACCCCGAAAATTCTATAATAAATATATGTGAATTATTAATAGTGAATAATTCTCTTATGATGAATAATCATGTATATATATCAGGTGTACATTTTTTTATCAGTGTTTGGGCACCCAGCATGTGTATTTAAGTGAGAGATATCGAGTGTTAAGGCCAGCATGTGAAATGCCTAACAGAGAGCATTTTTGTGCTGAGCGATCGACCGACGCGGTCGACCGTGGCGGTCGACCGATGCGGTCGACCGATCAGCGGACAGAGGGTTTACAGGTTTGTTTTCTTTTATGATTTTTGTTTTGGTCTTATTGGGTTTCGGGTAGGGTTAGGGCATTTGTATATGTACTATTTCAACCCAGGAGAGCTTCTCTTCATCTCAGACCTAAAACCCTAGCCCCCATCTCTCTTCTCTCAAAAACCCTAGCTGGACCTGGTGATTTGAGGAGTTTGGAGGAGTTCCAGGGGATTTTTGCAGATCTGAGCAAAAGAGGATCATCTCCAGAGCAGTTGTCAGCATCTAAGGCGAGTATCATCTCGCCCAATCCCTCATCCCTATTTTTCTATGGTTTTATTTCGATTTTTCATGAGTTTTTGAAGAGCCCAACAGGTATTTTCGTATAAAAATGAGTTCTTTACATTATGGATTGCAAGAATCGATATTTCAGTTTTTGAAAGTTCACCAACGTTTGTCTAATGAAGATCTAGAAACGTATCAGGGAGCGGTCGACCGGGTGCGGTCGACCGCCGTTCTCTCTGTTGCTTTTTCCCTGTTTTGTGCATTCTTGAATATTCGTTCAGGTTCGAGTGATTACCTGGTTTATCTGACAATGGTATTTAGTCTTAGTATGTGGCCATGCATGATAGATGACCTGAAGGTATAAATTGGGGACTTACACACTGATTTGAGTATGGATTGGTATAGGTAGATTATTCTATATATCTCAACGACCGTTGCACAATTTCACAGTCCTCGTGTTGGAGATTGGTATAGGTAGATTATTCTATATATCTCAACGACCGTTGCACAATTTCACAGTCCTCGTGTTGGATTATAATCTATAGAAGTCCTCGTGTTGGACTATAATCTATAGAAGTCCTCGTGTTGGACATCTGCCACCTATTCCAAGAGTTTGGAAATCACAGTATATAGTTCCTGTTTTGGACATAGTTCTTAACCCTGCATATGACTATCTCACAGAAGATCACGACATGAGAGTTATGTAAATTTTGACTTGGCACTGTACTTATGTTCTGAGATTAGTTGTATTTCTTTTATTATTGTTTTCTGTACTAGAACCTCGGGTTTGGTGTTTAGAGATTTACAATTGGAGATACAAGGTATATACATGAGGGTTTCCTTATTTGGATTATTTCGCTCGACGTACCTATGCTCGTGTTGTAAATTCCTAAATACTAAAACCCTCTATAGTAAGATCAATGATTTTAAATCTCTTATATAATAACTGTATTTTCTTATACAACGAGCCCTGTTCCCTTGGGGTTGGTTGTGATGTTACTCGCTAGTGCTTTGACGCTCGTTGTCCCTCCCCCTTTCAGGTAACGAGCCAGGAGCCCGTAGAGTCGCAGGTTGATGGCGAGGCATTTTAGCTTCAGTTGTTTACTTAGATATATTTTCTTTTGGAGTTCCACAGTAGACTTTTGTTTAGGTATTTGAGAATCTTATTCTAGAAGTCGTAAAGGCGGTGTGCCTTATTTCCTCTTGTCAGACATTTGTATTTGAGACTTGTTGAGTATTCCAGTTTATCTACTCAGATATTGACTATGTATTTCTGTATGTTGGATGATGAGATATTTATGTGACTATTATCATTTCATCAGTATATCTTGTATTATCTTTTTCCTGTATTGTACCTACACCAGTTGTTGACTTTACTAGACAGATGTTAATTGTGATGGTGAAACATGTTATTACATGGTGTGGTGCATGGCAGGTTTGACATTCTTGGTTTCACCTTGGACTGCAGCCTTGTGTGAACCCAGGGGCGTCACAACGGATGACCTGGCACGGCTGTTGGGCCACATTTTCTCTAATAATTGAGGGCTTAAACGGATGGGAAATAATAGGAGGGGCTAGATCACGTGGAGTTTTAATTTTTGATGCATTGACACAGTTTTTCCTTTCACTTTTTGGAAATACTAGATCAATTTTACTCAAATTACCACCTGCAAGTCACATTATATGTTCAACAAATAGTGAAAAGTATATGTTGGTTTTTGCAAAAAAGTTATGAAAGTCATTAATAAATAAATAATGTTTCTGATAGTTTTACGAAAAAAATATGTATATGAAAATTCATGCAGGCATGAGCTATTTATGCTTACTTCAGCCTGAATATTCCCACCCAACCCAGCATTCCGCAAACATTTATTTTGAGTCAAATCATCCAACAAATTGGAACCTAATAAAGCCCAACTTAAAGCATAATCTTTTTCCAGCCCATCCTATGAACCTACAGATCTAAAAGTTTGATGCATTAGACCTTTTTCTTTAATATCACTCTCCTCAGAATTTATATGGGTTTCTCCGCGATTATTCTCAGCATTACACTGATAATTTCGTCTAGATATCACACCAACTCAATAACAGGAGATCATCCACTCCAAACAATAGTCAATTTGGGGGGGCAGTTTGGTTCTTGGGTTGTATTTTGATGCGTGCTATGTATCAAGATCCATACTTAAAATTTATTTGTTTACAATAGATATTAAATTGTATTTTCATAAGAGATAAAATTAAATCAAATTTTATTTAGTTGGATGTCCATTTTCTTGAGGATATGCTTCATGTCCAAAAGATTGGACTGCAGCCAGTTCAAAATTGTGATTGATTTTCTTTAAACAAAATTTTATCCTTAAATAAGATTCTTAGGACTTGGTCTAATCCAAACGTGTTTCATGAGCTTTGGCGGCTTCAAGTCCCAACATCTCTAGAGACTGGGAAAAGCTTCTGGAATTTGGGCTGCAGCAAGTACAAATTTGTGACTGAGTTTCTTTAAATAAATTCTTATTAATACCTAACACGGCATTTTCTATAGTTCCGCAGCCCTTAACTTTTTAAGCCAAGACTGGAGGCTGAACAACTCGAGCGTAAGAATTTCCATGTGTTCATGTTGAACCATCAGAAGGCTCCTATGAGCAGTATTTGTGCAAAAGTTGAAAAGGATTAATTGCTTATAGACCGCCTTTCGTATTGCCTAATTTCAGATAAATCCTTTATAGTTCGATTGCTGTAGAAAGACCTCCTGTACTATTGCCCATTTGTAGATGGACTCCGTGTAGTTCTTTTGCTGGAGAGAGACCCGCCGAGTGAAAAATTTTTAAAAACGTTTTCACCCTATCTGCAACGGTAGAACTACAAATCTACATGAGGACTATCCGCAATTGGACAATAGTACATAAGATCTATCCGCAATTAACCCAAGTAGAAACACAAGCATGAAAACCTCCTTTTCTAGACTCCGCAGCCCCAGTTGCACTGTCTATGAGAAAAAAAAAAATCTATTTGGATGAACAAGGCTCTACCATTCACTGAAGATAACCTTACTAAAGATAGTTCCAAGGCGTATAATATATCAGCGGAGAGGAAAAAAAAAGAAAAAGAAAAGGAAAAGAAATGGCTTCTCATCTGCATCTTTCAACACTTCAATCACCCTCTCACATTACCAAAACTTCACCATGGATCATAACTCAAACAAAGCCAACCATCATTCACTCTATCTGCAACAAACCGACATATATCCTCCAAGCACAAGGTCGAGGATTCGGAGTGACTACAATCCCCAGTAACAAGAAAAAATCAAGCAATGACGACAACAACGAAGGTGATGACGAAGAGGATGCAATACCTGCAGTGGTATTCAATAGAATGCTTATAAGAATCCTGTCATTTGTCGGAGTTCCAATGGCTTCAGGCGTTGCACTTCTCTACGTGCTGAGCTCGCTGAAGGAGAAAGGCATATGGGAGTCACCGGGATGGCTGCCATTCTTGACAATTCTCCTTGCTTTTGGCACTTCAGCTCTTGGGATTGCATATGGGTCATTGTCCACAAGTTGGGATCCTGATAACGAGGGGTCTTTGCTTGGATGGGAACAAGCTCAGAAGAACTGGCCTGAGCTATGGAAAGAGGAAGAAGGTGAGAAGAGATGAGCGCAAATTAAAATTTATACATGCAATAATTAATTGATGTTTGATAGTTATCTAGTTTTGTGCACCTGTAGAAGTTTGTTTTCAATTGCTTTTGTGCAGAAATTTTTAACAGATACAAGGTAAAATAAAACCTGAAATTGAAGCTGAAAAAAGAATGATGTTAGAGGTCAGTACGCACCATGAAATTATAAGTCCAAATTCGAGAAGTAATTGCTACCACTGAGGGAAGAATAAAATCACATCCATTTGAATTCGAGAAGTAATTGCTACCACTGAGGGAAGAATAAAATCACATCCATTTGATTTTGCATGACTCTGGAAATAGCTACAATCACAAGCACATCCATTTGATTTTGCATGACTCTGGAAATAGCTACAATCACAAGATGTAATTGTGTTTTTTGTTCTTTATACATGCAGATAAATAATTATTACAGAACAGTAGCTCATGTACCAGTTAAACTTCATCATTGGAGAATGATTCAAATAGAGCATTGTGCTAGAAAACTATCTCAACGCAACAGATAAACGCGCCAAATGCCTTCAGCAGAGCAATAAGATTAAATTATAAGAGTAGAAGACATGCAAGTATTGAAGATTGACAGCAAAATTGAATGATTAGCTAAGAAGTAGTTCATTAAGGCAAGCTATTGTTGGGGGTTCGAGACAATCAAATCGAACCCTTTCCGGACCATGTTAGAAAGTTGAGCAAGAAAGAAATTCACCATAAATATCAAAGATAAAAACTTACAGAAATAAGAACAAGAGAGAACACACGAATTTAACGAGATTCAGCAACGTGCCTACGTCCTCGGGAGCCACACTACACAATCTTTTTGATTAATTGAAGAAGGAATACAAGCACTCAAACAATGGATTAATCTATCTGAGATTCTCATTTTTTTCTCTCTCTTTCTGATGGTTTTTCACGTTCTCCTTAGCCCTAGAAAACATATAGATATATATATGAATCTCAACCCAAACATAATTCAAAATAGATTAGGATACTGCTAGCGTGACTCTCGCGGTCGCCCGCCGAACCAGTCGCGGTCGACCGGATAAACGATAGAAACCTAAAACGCCTACAGGGTATCTACGGTCGACCGCAGAACCCATCGTGGTCGACCGTGAAAACTCCAGAGACTTTTCTCAGTCGTGTGCACGTTCGCGGTCGACCACCGAGAGCATCGCGGTTGACCGCACTGCAGTTTTCCTATTTCCTTCGTTTTGCTTCATCTTCTTAATTCCAGCTTCGGCTTCAGCTTTGGGTCTACACTTAGACTAACAGCTATCATATATATAAAATGATAATTCCTGACGGAAGCAGGAGGGATTGAGCACCAGATAAAAGTCTCTTTCCAATTTTAAAGAGGCAGCCTGTAGTAAGGAGCATAAAAATATTACCATAAACTGAATAATTCTGTGGGAGCAGTAGAATTGTCATGCTAGTAGGATTCAGAAATATCCCACAGTCAAACTACAAATTGTACATTGTAAAACCTGCAGATGATGTGGGCAAACAGTTCTAAAACAAAATATTCAATATTGGCTAATGCTTTGTAAAGTAAGGAAAAAGATTTTTGGCTCGCGCTTTAACGCGCGAGCCAACTCGCACATGAAACAGGGGGTGGTCCCCACTGACACAGTGGGGACCACCCCCTGTTTCACGAGCGAGTTGGCTCACGTTGGTAAAGTAAATAGATGTAGAAGCAAACTATTTGACATCTAAAAAGAACTTGCGAGATATCTCTCAGGCATAATCATGCCGACTAGCATCTCCGTCTTTTCCCACAGCTGTTACAATCTCGATGCGAATTATCGCTATAGCCCACACATAATAACAAAAGGAAACCCAGGTCAGATAATTTAAATCACTGAGAAAGTTTTAAATTTTATACAATTTCTTTTGGCCAAGTATAATACCTTTTTGCAGTATTTCATTATTCCTGTCATAAGATGTTCGCCATGAATAATGTTATTTATTGCTAAATCTTCCAGTGGGCTATTTAGCACTTAAATACCTCATAGTTTCACTCACTTGGCATATATGCCTTCACTTGTTTTTTTCTAGCATTTATATGCCCTAAGTTGTTTAAAATTTTCATGTTTGTACCCTCAAGCATGCAAACATGAAAATTTTCACCCGAATATTCCTCTAAGATACCAATAGGCTTATTATAGAGCTTTTTAAGTATTAATATTTGTTAACATTACTATTAAACCTACCAAAATGAATCGGGCTTAGGCTGCATAGCTACAGGGAATTCATCGCCTTTCATGAAGAAGTATTGCATGCGTGCAAACTACCTACCCCTTTTCAAAATGTTTTAAACTTATCTTAATTCTACTTTAAATTAGAGTTGAGATTGGTTTAAGCATGAATTTAATAAGTATTAATGGTTAAAAAAACTCTATTTATACCCTGTAAGTTTCATAGAGGAAGATTCAGGTGAAAATATTCGTGTTTTCATGATAGAGGATACAAACGTGCCAACTTTAAACCACTATGGGTACATAAATGCCATGGGAAATAAGTGAGGGTATATAAGTGCAAAGTGTGTGTGAACTATGAGGAATTTAAGTGCTATTTAGCCTTATATTTCAGTCATGCCATCCTGCTCTGACGCATGCAAGACTATACATCTATGTTGCCTAGGTACGGGTACGGGTGCGGGTGCGGGTATGGGTACGGGTACGGGACACGGCAAATTTGTAAAAAGTAGGGTACGGGGACACGGCTATATATATATATAAAATAATTAACTTTAGATCAATATTCCAAAAGTTAAAACTATATTCCTTGCATAGGAAATAGAGTAGAAAGCTATTTTTGCTTTAATTAAAAATTTAGAACTAATATTATTACCTAGAGCTAAGTTGCATGAAAACTGGTACTGGTACGGGTACCACCGTACGGGTAGGGGACACGACAAAACTGTAAAATGTTGGGTACGGGTTCAAACTACATATATATATTGAATTAATAATGTACATGAGATAATTTTTTTCTGCTTCATGTGTCATTAGAATTAAAATTTCGATCACATTTTTGAGTTTATTTTATCATATTGACTATCGTGAATTGTAAACTACTCATTTTTTACTAGACATCTAAACAACTCATTAACTATATAGTTTTGAACTTGGGTATGGACTGAAACGAACCCGACCCGTATCCCATTAGTTTCAAAAGACGGATGTAAAGTGTAAGCTCTACGTCCATAAAGTCTTTGACAAGTGTTTTAAATTAACACATATATCATATAATTGAGTACATGTTGTAATAAATGCATGCATATATTCAAGAAGTGCCCATGAAGTTTGGGTACGGGAAAGTGTCGGGTACGTGTCCGGTACGGGTACGGCTTCAATAATGAAGTACCCGTGTAACATAGCTATACATGGAATCGAATGATATTTTAGGACACAAATGATGTCACACCATGATCATGTCATTTTTCAAAACAATATAAACAGTTATTTCCATCAGAAGGTCACGTTCCAGTCCAAAGTGGAAAAATTAACCGGTGGAGTACCTACAATTACACATTCAAACTGTTAGTATATATTTCAACAAGAACGTCTCGAACGGAGACGTAATACACACCCAAACGATTTTGGAATCACAGAATAAAGATATAAATTCAATCACAGTACTCACAGACGTGGTTCACTCTTACGGAGCTACTCCACGGTACAACAACGACGCCCAGTTCTTTTATGTTCCAAAAGAATTAGATCAAAGAGAGCATCATCTCTTGATCAAGATACACTCCAAGAATTCTCACAAACTCTCTCCTTGATATTAGGAAAAACTCTCTATTTTTCCTTTCTCTCACTCTTCTATAAGAGGAGTTGTTTCTAGGATGAGTTTCTCCTGAAGAGTTTTGGCCCCATTTATAGTGTTTGGAAAATACTATGCGCTAATTGTAGACGTCTAAAATTGTTTATGAGAGCCCGCACGAAACTCGAAGCAATGAACGGGCGAGTCAAGAAAATTCGCCAATCAGTCAGCGCACGTCAAATCATCTCATGCGCGTCGGTCAGCTCGTACGCGTCGGTCAACACGCGCACGCCGATCAGTCCGCGTGCATCGATCAACACGCGTATATTAACCAATGCGCGTTCGACAGTCGGTCTAGCGGCGAAGCATACAAGTCAACAAATCGGCCAAACACAATAAAAGAACAAGTTTCGGAATAAAAAGAATAGAAAAAAGGAAAAGTCGGCAAAACTGCGCGAGTGTAGGATGGAACGAACCGACCCGCGCAAGCGCGGGTCGGATCAGTCCGACCCGCACAAGCGCGGGTCGGTTCAATCCGACCCGCAAGCGGGTCGGACTGATCCGACCCGCGCCGCGCAGTTCGGAACCTGAAACGTATTTTGACGGTTTTAAAGTTGTTTTCACAGGATTTATCTGTTCCATGGGTTCCTGTAAAACCCCGAAAATTTCCATAGTATATATATATATATATATATGTGTGTGTGTGAATTATTAATAATAAATAATTCCCTTGTGGTGTATAACCATATAAATATAAGATATATATGTTTATCAAGGTTTGGGAACCCAACGGGTATATATAAGTGAGAGAAATCGAGTAGTTTTGCGGCCACCATGTAAATTGCCATCAGCAGAAAATTTCGTG